GTATTTAGAAATATATAACTATGTTTATTAGTTGTCTAGTACTCATAACACAAACTCTGCTTAGCTCGGGACTAGATGGCGTTGTGTGATAGTTGTGAAATATTATTATTATTACATGTTTTTTTTTTTCAGATCGTGGGGATAATCATGAGTCTCTTAAAATTTCTGGCGAAAGTGAAACACGTCCTTCGAGAACTTCCACAGCTGCACCCAGGTACCGAGAAAGTTCACCATCGAACGAAAATGAAGAACCCTTCTCTCCGGCAGTATCTGAGTATGCACCTAGTTTAAATCCGTCCAGTAGGTCTTCTAGTCCAGTTCAAAGATTTAATATGACAATGTCGTCTTCATTGGTGCGAGATGTTACGATGGCGCTAACGGATGCATATACTACGCCGCCAACGAGATCAGAAAAACTTTTCCATTTTAGCACTCCTTCTAAACATCACCGTAGTATTGATTTCATTTGTTCTCCTACTATAATTTACAAAGCTAGTAATAATGATAGTGTTTTATCCAACAATAATAATTCCCAACAGTGTGGATACATTGATGGTATTCACCCAATATTAGCGGGAGATAATTGTAATAGCTTAACAGATTTATGTACTGACATTTTAAACCATCAATCTTTACAATTACCTAATTCTCCAAACAGTTTACCATCAAACTCAATGTGTACGAGCATACGCCGCGATGAAACCATGTCTATGGCAAATCTAACTGAGACCTACATACCAATAGAACCAGTTGCAATTTACAGTGACCTAGCAGAGATTAACAATATTAGTGATGATGATGAACGAGTTTATTTAAATTTAACTGTAGCGAATCAAATTGACAACGTAGAAAATAATATAAACCCACAAATATCTAGTAATACAGAAATTACGCAACCTAGTACTAGTATTGCTTATGAAATATCTTATTGCAATAATCATAATGCAAAAATAAATTACTGCTGGGTCTTCTCATGCTTTGCTGTCATCGGAAAGAAAAGTTAAATCTAGAAAGGGGGCAAGAAACTTAAATGAATGGTCTAAATGTAAAAATAAAAAATTAAATAACAATGGTCTTGAATATCATAGTGTTAACAGAAAGAAATTAAGGCAGTGTAGAGAATTAGGTAACCCTTGCGTGTGTAAGATGAAATGCTTTGACAAATTTACTCAAGCAGATCGTTTGGAGCTATTTCAACATTATTGGAATATAGGAGACCATGAAAAACAATGGCTTTACATCCTGAACAATACAGAAGTTGAACAGCCTAAAATTGCCAAAGTTCAAAGAAAGCGGGATAGGTCTCGCACATTAATTTACTATCTACCATTATGTAAAGATGTTAAAGTCACAAAAACAGTATGCAAAGTAATGTTTTTAAATAGTTTGGGTATCAAAGAAAAAACTGTTTACTCTGCTATGAATAAATATACGAATAACTAGCAAATAACGGATTTACGGGGCAAACATATTAACCGTCCCCACAAAACAAGTGATGAAACTGAGCAAAGTGTAATACAGCACATAAAATTATTCCCATGTATCGAATCTCACTATTTAAGAAAGCAAACTAGCCGTCAATATCTCGCCTCTGATTTAAACTTGTCTAAAATGCATCGATTATATGTACTTTGGATGTCAGAAAATTTAAACACAGTAAAAGTAGCAAGTTTATACCAATATAGGAATATTTTTAATTCCCAATTTGATCTTTCATTTTTTAAACCAAAGAAAGATATGTGTCAAATCTGTAGTCTTTATGAAAATGCTGATGTTGACCGTAAAATTGAACTAAAGGACACCTACGAAAGCCATTTAAAAAATAAAACCCTGATACGCAAAATTAAAGATGACGAAAAAGCTACATCAAATCCTGAGAGTACGGCTGTCGCTGTGTTTGACTTGGAAAAGGTTTTAAGCTTGCCACAATCCAATGTGGTTATTTTTCATTATAAAAGGAAATATCCAGTCTATAACTTCACGGTATACAATTTATTATCTTTACAAGGATACTGCTATTTGTGGCACGCACAGATAGCTAGAAGAGGGGCTAACGAAATTGCAAGCTGTCTCTTTTTCTAGAAAAATATCGATATAAATCAGCGATATTTTTTCCCGCGATATATCAACTTTCGATATTTATTTTTAGGTATCAAAATCGATATATTTTTTAAAGCTCTGTTGTCTGCTCATGCGTCACATCATGTCTTTGACCAATCTGATTTCTTAAATTTAATTCAAACGCAAACAAAAATTACACTCTATAGTCTATGACCTGCTTGTCTATTTTGTTCATCTATGACAATGACACTGCTTGTTGGTTTGGTTTGGTTGGTATCACTGACTGCGTGTGTTGGAGTGTTGATACTTGAATGTGGCGGCCGACTGGCGAGTAAGCTCAGCTAAGTGTAGCTCATTGTTATTTTCTGTTATTTATGATAAAACGTTATTATGTCTGCTGTGTGGAAGTTCTTTACCAAAAAACGGAACAACGAACCTGTTTCTTGCTACTTGTGCGGTAAAACGTACAAAACTTGTGGAAACACTACAAATTTGGCAACACATTTGAAAACGAAGCACCATTATGCTTATTTGCAAGTGGTAAACATACAAAATGTCGCGGAGAACCTAACGGGTAACCGGGGCTCCGGCTCGACGTGCAGGAGAAGGAACGGGGTGGTTTTTAGTCAGTAAGAGTCTGACACTCCCTTCCGCCTCACCCAGGCGGGAGCAGTCATTCGATGATTTTCCCCCCTTAAAAAAAAAAAAAAAAAAAAAACATACAAAATTCATCGAAAACTGAAAAGTCTAGCAATGAGACTATAGATGTTGCGTCGGCAAACTTTGATGATGATGACACCAGTGTTGATGTAAGTTTCAAAAGATCCAAACTAAAATTGCAATAATTAGTCAAATTTTTAAATAGGTTATGAAATTATTTTTGTTCTGTTGACTATTGTCAGGTTACTTTACCAAGATCAAGTACTCCAAATACGAAGAATACATCTAATGACGATTCCTAAATACAAGAGATTAGAGAAAATTCTGTACATTCTCCAAAAATCCAATTCTTCAATGAAGCCGCAAAAAAAGAAAGCAAGAAATGCAACTTAAGCAACCTACATTAGCAAGCTGTTTTGAGAGAAGTTCAAGCTTTGTAGGTAAGTTAGTGACACGGTTTTAAAAAAATATATATTTTTATCTTAATTTTGATAATATTAACATTCATACATTCCGATAAACAAATTAGAGTGATTCAAAATATTTTAGTGATGTTCCTCAATCAATTTGCAAATATATCGATAGTTTAGACGTGACTTTATTTATATTTGTGTTTTCAAACTATTTTTTTTTTTCTAAGTAAATATCAATTATATTACTTAAGATAATTTATATATTTCAGAAGGTGGACAAAAGAGCATTGTGAAATTACACAGGCATTAATTTACATGATATGCAAGGACAATTTGCCAATGTCGTGTGTAGAAAAAAAGGGACTACAAAAATTTATTCGCACAGTTAGCCCTCTCTATAAACTGCCTTCAAGAAAAAAGGTTGTCTTTAAATTACTTTTGGTCTAATTTATATTTTTAATATTTAATGGGTGCTAATTAAGGCAGCTTCTTTAAAATGTCATTCTCGTCTGCAAATACATTTAATTGTCTAATGAATTAATAGGTCAGCGACAAACTTTTAGCGTCTAATAAATGGTTTATAAGCGACCATATATTGTAAAACAAGCTACTGTTAATATGACGCAACATTTAAACTAATATTATTAATATAAACGGCTAAATGGTATGAAAAGATTTGAAAAGCAGTTAGTGATATAACGCTCGGCGGCCGCTACCGCGGCACCGCTCGCTACGCTCGCTCGCCTCGCGCCTTGTGAGGGTCGCAGTTCTAACCTAACCTAACCAAATGTTTCGGGGTGCCCAAAATTGCTGTGCAGTCAGTCAACATTAGTCGCTGAGTTATCAAATCAGAAGTAAATATATTTATCGGTAGCTCGGAGTCATATTAATTTACGCTCGTAAATTGACGCTGGTTTCTTGATATTTTGTTGGAATAGTAAAGATGATGAATTAATATAATTGAAGCTGTTCTATTAACTCGTCGCTCACATATAAAAAAAGACGCTAGGTTGCAGGTGCTAAAGAAAACTTTTGTTGCCGCACATATAATTTCCCATATTTAATCGCAGTGAAATAACTGATACTTCTTACTTTCAGGTAACTCACTTAGTACAAAACAGATACAATGCTATAAAGGAGGTTATAATAAAAACATTGAAAGAGATATCTTTTTTATGTTTCACAAGTGACATACTTACAATTACTAATTCTACCAGAAGTTTCTTAGTATTGACGGTTCACTTTATTGACATCGTAAACGGATCGCCTGTCCTTCAGAGTTTTAACCTATGCGCCCAGAAACTTTCTCAGGTATATATTTGATGTACTTTATAATTTTTAACCCCACCTCTAAATTGATTTGCAATTATTACATTTTATACAGTGTACATATATACTTATTTTAGGGTCATACAGGACAGTACATCCAAGAATGTTGGAAAGAAATATGTGAAGAGTTTGATATTGACAAAAATAAAATTGTATCTATTAACACTGATGGCGGCGCAAATATAGTGTCAGCGGTACGACTGTTTTTAGGTGATAATCATCGGATTCCCTGTATGGCTCACGTCTTAAACCTTGTAGTTGATGGAGTACTGAAAGAAATTAAAGAATTTTCAGCACTTACCGATCATGTCAAAACCATTGTGACGTTCTTTAAGCAGTCAGTCAACGCTATGGATCAATTACGAGCTGAACAAGAATCATGTGGAAAAAAAGAAGGTGAGGTGCTGACATTGATACAAGCTATCAGCACTAGATGGAATTCTTGCTTCGACATGCTAGAGAGATTCGTTAAACTGTCTGCACTAGTAGCTAAAACTTTTAGCCACAAAAAGCCAAACTAACAAGAATACACCAGATATGGTTCCATCGTCGCAACTTAATGTAATACGGGATTTGATTGCTCTTCTTGGCCCTTTCAAAGAAGCTACTGAGGAAATAAGTGGTGCGAATTATGTAACGTCAAGCTTAGCCATTCCTCTTACAACTTTAGTTACCCAAGTAACAGATCAAGCGACTCCATCGACCTCTTTAGGATTGATTGTAAAAAAGGCTTTACTCAAAAAAGTTGAAGACAAACTGGCTCCTTTAGAACGAAGTTCTTTTCTCTCAGTAGCTACTATTTTGGATCCTCGGTTCAAGCGTATCCACTTTACCTCGCCAGTTGTCGTGTCAAATGCTATATCCAAAATTAGTACTGAGATTCGAGCAGAACATCGGCGTAGAGGACAACGTTCTCCGGATAAAAATCCTGATCAAGCAGCATCAGAACAAGCTAGTGGGTCCTCTATCTGGATCAGACATGAGAAATTATTAAATCTGAACATAGCTACTTCAGAGGTTCCAAGCAGTGGCTGTGTCCCCAATGAACTGAAGCAGTATTTGGACCAACCACTTTTAGAAAGAAAATCTGATCCAATCAAGTTCTGGGTAAATTGCCGACACTTCACGCCGGTTCTCTCGGATATCGCCCTAAAATATTTGATTTGCCAAGCTTCTTTAGTGTCATCTGAAAGAGTAGCTTCAATGGTGAATTTGGCTGTGCCGAATGATAGGAGCAGATTAACAGGCGAGCACATCAAGCAAAGAGTGCTCTTGATGTCAATATCAGACAAATACTGGTTTGAATAATGTAATTTTTGTTGTGTTGATGATGTTGATTTTTTCTTGGCTTTATGTACTTATTTTTTAATAATAAAACTGATGTCAAAACAGCCAGATGTGTATTTGCTTTAAAATTTCGAATATTTTGACTATTTTTATAGATAATTGCTTATTCCGCAGAAAATATCGATATGTCAACATATCGATATTTTTTTGTCGATTATTATCGATATATTTAAAAAATATCGATACGATATATATATCGATATTTTTTCCCCATTTGCCCATCCCTAAACTGAGGCAAGGGAGAGAGGGGCGCGGAATCGTCAAATCGTCGCAGCTTGCTTCTTGTGGCCCGCACCGGCCACTAAACGCCGACACAAAAAGCCGCCATACGCCACTCGCGCGATTCCGCGCCCCACTCTCCCTTACCTCAGTAAACCTGTTACGAGTCGACGGTGACGCACGCGCGTAGTCTGTGGTTCATATAGGTAGATAAATATGGATATAGAATTATTTATATCAGAGATACAATCTCGTCCTGCGATTTGGGATTCAAAAAGTGATGGTTATAGTAATAGAGGAGAAAAAGTGAAGGCCTGGGAAGAAATCTGCGAATTGTTTGTAGGAAATTTTTCGAATAAAACTGCCAAAGAAAAGAACATTGAAGGTAAGTTTAATAAAATCATATAAAACCATTATATTTATATTCTATTTTCTTGCCACGGTATTGCTCCTTCATTCATAAAATAATCTTTTAACGTATCTCTTGCAGTAGACGCTCGTGTTACTGGCCAGCCTGTATTTTGTATATTTTCGAGTCCCACTATTTTCAAAGTGTGACGAAAATTGAAACCATCCCTTTTGCGAATAAAGTTGTGCAAAATACAACAAGCTTTCACAATGTCTTCTGAGAAATTAACAGAAGTGTTTAATGGGCGATGTAATATTCTCCATTTGTTTGCTAGCACGCCGAAGGTACACTCAATACAACGTCTGGCACGGCTTAACCTATAATTGAAAACTTTTTTGTCTAAGTCCAAATATTTTCCAGCATATGGCCTCATCATATTTTTACTGAGGCCAAATGCTTCATCACCAAAAAATGTAGTTCAATGGTTGTCGATTACCGACCTGCCGTGGTGAGGGGATATTTAATGTCTTTCTGTGTATTTTATTACACAGTTCACTTTCTCTAAATATTGTAGAATCGGATGCTTTACCGTATGCCCCAACATCCACGAACGTAAAAAGTAAATTCGAGTAGCAAGTTGCTAGAAGTACTATTGAAAAAAAAATTTTATAGTTAAAGTACAAGGAGCCGGTATCGAATGGATGAATAATTCTTATATGTTTCCCATCTATGGCGCCTAAACAATTAGGAAAATTAGTATTTTGAAGAAATCCGCTGGCAATTTCATTCCATATGTCTTGGGTCGGTTCTGGAATACAAACGGCTTTTAGATAGTTCCAAATTAGTTGACATGTTTCTTGTACTATTTTCCTTGCTGTAGAGGCCCCACGGTGGTAAGAGAGTTCAAAGTCCTCAAACGAGCATCCAGTCCCTAGATACCTGTAACAATGATTTGTATATTATAATATTATAATATAATATTAATGTATATTATATTTTTTTATTGTTACAGTAACTAAATTACAGATGAAGTGGAAGAGTCTTCGTGACAGTTTTAATAGAGAAAATGCAAAAAACAAGAACGTTGCGAGTGGTTCGGCAGCAACAAGCAAAAAACAGTACATTTATTTCAATCATCTATCTTTCTTGAATTCCTTAAAAGAAGTGAGACCGCCTACCGATTTTATTTCCGAATGTGCAACTAATGATGCGGAAACACCTCGGCAGAAAATAAATAGAAACATTAATATAAAAAGGGCCGAAAAATCAGAAAATGAAATTCTCAGAACACTTTCGGAAAATTTAAAACGAAAACATGATCAAATAAGCGACCAAAATGACCCCGATAAGCAATTTCTGATGTCGCTGCTTCCACATGTAAAAAAAATTGACGAAAATTGTAAACTTGATTTTCAATCAGAAATATTACAGTTAATTAGAAAGTACACGCATAATCAAAATTATGAAACCTATTCGGCACAATATTATGGTGATTCTTCAGGAAATGCCAACATACACTCTACACAAAAAGCTTCTACATCTGCCCAGCCTTCTCCACTTCATTCACATTATTCCGACAAGTCTATGCTTGACATCTCATACTCTACACAAAACGCTTCTACATCTATCCCGTCTTCACCTATAATTCAGCCTTCTCCAACTCATTCATATTATTCTGACCAGTCTATGGACAACAGTTCTGTTATCGAAGACATGTTCCGTGATGATGACGAGTGATACCAAATTATAACAAACACACAATAAATAAATACAAATACCTGCGTGTTTTATTTATATTTGTAAACTAACTATTCTCTAGTAGAATAAACAATGCAATTGTGCCCCATGGGTGAGCTATCAGCGCGCGGTCTAGGCGTGTAAGCGTAACAGACAGACAGACAAACAGGCCTAAATTTCGCAGTTATAATAATAATAAGTATAGATTATTTTATTATAGTGTTCTGCGAAGTTTTAAGCTAGTGATTATTTCCACTTACCTTAATGTGATAGCTAGTCTTTCCGCAGGTGCGATGCTTTTCCGCATGTTGGTGTCGTGGTGCTTTAATCCAGCATATAATAGAGCATGTAGTTCCCAAAACGTACCGATACTTAAACGAAAATGTTTAAAAAACTTTTTAGGATGGTTTAGAAGATTATCGAAATGTTCGTTGCATTTGTGTACATTCGTTAAAATTGGATGTATCCAATAACTACGGTTTCGTCTTCTATGACGACGTCTTTTTATCAAAAGTAGCGCAATTAAACCTTCTTCGTCCGAGCCCATTATGATACTGCATGCCTAGGTTAAAAAAAGTAGCAACCACCGACCGCAAGTGTCGACCACTGGTCACAAATGGCCGTCGCGCGCTTCAGCCACATCTGTAGTCGCTTCCAGCTTCTCGTGGCGGCGTTTGTGGCTGTCGCGAGTGGCTCGTGTGCGGCAACACTAAGGTGTTTCGAATGTTAACAAAAAAAAAAGGTTGTTTTTTTTTACTATTTTTTGATATATAACAATATATCATAGAGTCAAAAACAAAATAGATAGACTTGGTTAAACAGTTTTTTTGCTCCCCTGTAAAGTTAGTGAATTCCACTGACGCCTTTATTGGCCTGGGTGTGCGAATGTAGGCAATAATCAGTTTTTGGCTTTTACAGTCACCATTTACAGTTTAATACAGTCACCAATTACAGGTTAACCCACATTCTATAATAATAAAGTAATAACTTAAGACTAAAAGAAATAATAATTATGCATCAATATTCGAACACCGCACACAATGATAGATGTTGCTAATGCTGGGGTAAAATTTCTTTAAGCGAGCAAGGTTTTTTTGTTGTATGTAAATAATGTTTGTAAGCATCAACGTTAGCACAGAAGTGAAATTTAAATGCATGTCCTTATTAGAATAAAATTCTGTAAATGCTTAGTATCCACCTGTAAGACAGTTTTGAAAGTAATAAGAGTATGATACAAATTCATAGTTTGGTAAAAATTAAGAGTAAACATTTCCTTTTTGTGTTTTAGTTGCCGAGACTGGCTAAAAGCAGTTGGAAATGAAGAATCAGTTCATCTACCAAAGTTTTTATGCTAACCACTTTAGAAAACAGAATTACAACAAAAAGGGCAATCGTCTGAAAAGAAATGCAATCTCAACTTTAAATTTGTAAAACCCTTTCTACTGTTGAAAATCTGCCGGAGAAAATGCCTAGTAAGTACTATCATTATTTATAATGCATAGAAAATAACACAATTACATATCTTGGGTAGCGTGGGTGTAAGATTGTGTAAGGTTAATCTATACATTAATAAAATCGTAGTAAATGTCTATATTTTATTTTTTTTAAAGAATTCTTGGAGCGTGATCTACAATCGATACCGAAATCAAAAATATGGTTTTTGGAATTTTTGTCTGTATGTAAAACTCAAAAAGTACTACATGGATTTATTACAAACTTTGCATGAATATTACTAAAAGGTCGGGTCAATATGTAGACTACATATTATCACGCTATCATCTACGGGGGAGTAGCTGTGAATCACTATTCCACGCGGACGAAGTCGCAAGCACAGCTAGTAAGATAATATATTATTCTGGGCAGCAGCATCCTCTCTTCAATACAACAACAACACTACGATGGCCCCTAGTAGCCATCAGCACTTCTATCCTCCAGTAGCTGTCGAAGCCACGTTGAGGCCTTGAGGCACACACGGAATTACGTAAAAGGGGTTGCATGAAACTTGAGATGTATTAAAATCGTTGCAGCCGATTTGTTACAGAACTAAATCTAGTTTTCTAAGTTGGCTTTTATATAAAGAAACATCCCTTAAACTTATTTAATGTTAGAATATTAGTAACGAATAGAAAGATTGAAAGCCAATCTCGATATGGTTTTAGTAATTTTTGTGCTCTATTGGTATTTCAATTTGTATTTATGTGTGCAGAGAAATGCTTGTAAGGCTTTTGTAAAACATTTTACTTTTATTTACAGATTTAACGCTAAGAGAGAAGCAGGTGATGGAGCGCCTGAAAAAAACAAAATGCAGCTTGACAGCACTTAAACGTAGTGCTAATCTTTTAGATAAATTGGAGTCATGCGTCTTAAAAGAAATTGTTCTGTCGGCGTTGGTAAATCTACAAAGAAAGGCCACCGGTCGCCGTTGAACATCAAAAAATAAAATATTAGCCTTAGCTACATTTAAGAGGTCACCAAAAGCCTATCGATATCTGCAGCACCTAATGCCACTACCAAGTGTAAAAAAGCTGCATAATGTTTTAAAAATTTACACCAGTCACCACTGGTGTAAACAAATCTGTGATAGAACATTTAAAAAAAATCGGTCAATAAGGATAAAAAAGACAACTACTGTGGTCTAATATTTGACGAGATTGCT